TTGGGACCAGCCCGGGACCGGGACGGTTTGGACCGGATCACTTTGCCCGTTTAGGCCCGTGACCGGCTCACTTGCCACCCTTAGATGAGATCATTATTGTTATGAATCAGGCCCAACCCAATGTCACACAAGTAGCTATTGGGCTGAGAAGAACTATTGGGCCGAGAACAAGCAATAAGGCCAAGTTGATTTGGGATCCAGGTTGAGTTGTCTCGCAAGGCGCAAGGAAGTGTTTGTTAAAAGGGGACAATGGTCGGTTATTTTGGGGATTATGCATATTGTTGAGAAAAGTGTCTGCTTCTCCTCGTCTTCCTTTCTCTGAGTCTAACCTTCTCATCCCCTTCTTCTATCTATCCATAGTTACTTTAATCCCTGCAATTTCTCACTGTAATTCAATAGTTTGAGGATTGAATTGTTATCCAAATTTGTAATTGAGTTCTAGTTCATATAGATATAGTAAGGAGTTTGTCTATTTGTTACATAAAACATTGACTAATGGACATTAAAGATTCATATAGGCTATAGCCGCTTCCTATTTGTTTGGAGTTGTTTGTTATCTAATGGACAAACAATGTTTTAACTATTTGGGTTGCGTCAAGGTTGTACATATTACGTACGACTGTATCTTTTTTGTGAAGAATTAGTTTAAATAGCCGTTCATTCAATCATTTAAATAAAAAATAGTTGACGAATGTGTAATACGTGTATAATCATATATAATCTATGCATACTGACTAGAAAAATAAAAAAGTAAATTTGGCAGGCTATTTATGTAAAGATTCCGTTATTTTTTCTTTTTTGTACTATATATTCTTAAGCTCAGGCCGGGCTTATAGCCTGTTTGGCCAAGATATAAAAATTAGTTTATTTTGATAAGTACTTTTCTTAAAAGTACTTTTGGTGAGAAGCAATTTGTGTTTAGTTAATTAATTTGAAAAATACTTCTGAGCAACAATTAATGTTTGACCAAGCTTTTAAAAACTGCTTCTAAGTGTATTTTTCTCAAAGTGCTTTTGGAGAGAAATTACTTTTTTCTGTTTCTACTCAAAATCACTTTTTTTTCTTTTAAAAAGGTTGGCCAAAACTTTAACTTCGAATTTTTTTTTTTTTTTTATATAAAAAAAATGATTTTGACTTTAAAGAAGCTTGGTCAAACTGGCTACTAGCATGTGTACTCTCCCATTATCTTGAGCAAGAATCACAACTTTATCTTATTTCAACATGTTTGACTTCTGATTAGAAGAATGATGAACACATATATAAATCAAAGTCATATTAACACTTTTGAAAAAAAAAAGCAATTCCTTTTCTTAGACTTTCCATATTAATTCTGCGTTTGTCTTTGCTTTACACCTTTCGTTTTCTCAGCTTTCTAAACGTGTTATGGTTGTTTCATCATTTCTCTGGTCAAGCCTCTCACGGGGACACGAACAAACAGTGTGAAATACCTTTTGTTACACAATATTATGAGTACATATTCACACCATCTTGATTCTAAGATAAAACTTCCACTTTCTCCTCCCATTTATGTTTATCCATTTCCCACATCAATCAAATCTTATTATATATTGCTCTTGATGACTCGGAGGTGAATATAACATTTAGATTTTATGAGTTCAAGATATTGCATAACTCACTGGTTATCTGAGTTATTAAATTTAAAATTTAATATTTATATATATTTAGTAAATTTCTCAATATATATATAAGATTTGACCAGTACTGATGATTCGGCCAAACTCATAGCTTTTACCATGCATTTCCCCCTACGTGATGCACTTTATTAAAAATTAAATTATTTACACAATTAAATTTTTCCAAAGAGAAAAAAGTAGAGAAGATAATAACCTAATTCTTTCATGCCACTTTGTTAATCTCCTGTGAAAAGAGTCATTATTTTACTAAGAGAATATTTTAATGAGCCATAAACCTAATCTCCATTCTCTATAGCAACCCCGTTTAGTTTCTTTAATTGCACCAAAGATAAAAAGATTATAAAGAAAAAAATTTCTTAGCTTGTAAGTTTACTTGAAATTAATATTGCTCTTTTTGTTTTTCTTTTCATATTATCTTTTCCTCCATCTCGAGCTTTATATATAATTTTAAGTTTCAACTTTTACGTTGAAAATGAATCCATTTGTTGGAAACATTTGACATTGACTGTTGGATAAAGGTGAAATGTAATGTTCTCTGGTTAACTAGCATTACGTGACCATCCAGCTGTGCTTGGTTGAAATTAGTATGTTCTTATGTTCATTATTTCGCATTTCATGTCATATTGCATACAACGTGGAAAAAGTAAACTACTTATGCATGATTATAAATACCTTATTCATATGTTAACGGTCAAAGTGGAATTTTTACTAAAGAGATTACAAAAAATAAATAAACGTGCAAATAAGCTAAGATTATTCAACATCTAACCATGAAGTTGATGTTTGGCTTAAAGTATATATATTTATATGTATATCGCCTCATGTTTTACTTTTATTTAGTGGATTTAAGATGTAAAATATGTTGATTTACATTAATTTGAGGTGTTTTTATGTGTAGGAATGATTCGGGAGCAATTGGGGGCGAAAGGTGCGAGATTAGAGCCAAAACAGACGAAAAAACAAAAACAAAAAGGAAATTTCCAGCGCCACAGCCAGCGCCTGGCGCTACCTGTGGCGCCAGAGACAGTAAGCTTCAATTACAAGTGCCAGGGACAGCGCCTAGCGCTGGGCTGGGCGCTGGTGGCGTGAATTCTGTCCAACTTTGCCCGGGACAAGGTTATTTCGGCCCTAGACCTACCCAACACGTATAAAAGCAAGACTAAACTTATTTTTAGAGGGGGGACGATACTTTGAAGGGAGAATACACACGAGAAATATCCGGGAGCGAAGAGATCTCAGTTTTCTTCATCTTTTCTTAGTATTTTCAATTATCCAACACTTGTGAAATTATTTGCTATTATCATGAGTGACTAAAAACTATAGTTCTGGGGTTGTGATTTAGCCATAAATATTGTTGTTTAACGTTGACTTAACCTTGATTATAATTCACTAATATATGATTATTTCTTTAATTCTGTGATTAATTGCTTAATTGTTTGGCCAACAGTTAGGTTCTATTTACTATCTATGCTATGCTTGGGAAAGCCATGTTTAGATTAGAGAAGAATTGAAAAGAGCATGATCTTAACTCTTGGGGGGAAATTTGTGGTTAGGATAGGAATATACCTAGTCACCGTGCTTAATTAAATATCATAATCTTAATGCGTTCTTGATAGATTGATTTCATAGGAATATAGACGTTAATCTATTTTGAATAGGCGAGTAGTACTTCGGGAGAAGGCTATGAGGGCAATTATCGATTAATTAGCAACCATGAGTGAATTATATGAAAGTGAGAGTTAACTAGAACACAATAGGATTGGTGAATCGATCACAACCCTGGAATATTTATCTCTAATGAATATACAACAACTATTTTACTGCTTGATAATTTAGTTACTCCTTAGAAGTATAGTTTAGTATAACCACATTCTTGAACTCGAATTTGGCTTGCCTGAATAACAATCTTAGTGATTTTAGTGGGTAGTTGATACAAGTCTCTGTGGGTTCGACACTCGACTTATTATTTTATTACTTGTACGATCACGTATACTTGTGTGTGCGTTTGGGAGCGACAAGTTTTTGGCGCTATTGTCGGGGACTTGAATATTGACTACTTTCTAGTTTTTGCTTTCATTGTTAATTTTGTCAGGTCTAACATTACTTGATTGTTGCTCTGACCTCAGGAACTTTGATTGAATGCGCACGGTCAGAAGCTAGGACCGACTTCAAGGCTTTGACCTCGAACCCGAGAGAACATTTCATAGGAGGTTGAGGGAAGCAAAGGACACAGATAATATTCAGGCACTTGTCCAATTTCCTGTGAACATGGCTGAGGAACATATGGCTGTTCAGGAGGTGGCAATGCCCAACATTGCAAATGTCACCTACAGAGTGAAGCCCATAATCACTAGGCACTTTGAGCTGAAACAAAGCATGATCCATCTACTTCATGCGAATGGGCAGTTTATGGGTCTTCCACATGAGTATCCACCACAACATATCCTGAACTTCTTGGAGATTAGTGATAGTTATATCACTAACGGGGTCACTCCAGACTATGTGAGGCTCACACTTTTTCCATTTTCTCTGTTGGGCGAAGCAAAGCGATGGCTGAAGGCAGAACCAGCTAATTCTATTACATCATAAAATGATTTGGCAAGGAAATTTCTGGCAAGGTTCTTCCCTTCATGCAAAACTGCAAAGATCATAAGTGAGATAGTTGCATTCAAACAAAAAGTAGGAGAGTCTTTATACTCAGTTTGAGAGAGGTTCAAGGGGCTACTCAGAGACTGTCCTCATCACAATCAGACAAACGAAGTGTTAGCTCACACTTTCATAGAAGGGCTATATCCTGAAACAAAAATTGTGGTAGATGCTGCAGCTGGAGGTCAAGTGTTGGAGAAAAGCTTTGACGAGATATATGCATTATTGAACAAATTCTCCAAAAGCAATCCGGATTGGCAAGGAGAAATGGGCAGACACACGGTGCAAAAATCGTTAGGGGTTCTCGAGTTAGATGTCATCTCGGCATTATCAGCACAAATTTCTACACTGACCAACCAAGTCAATCAGATGACCATGGTTATTAACAAGCAACAAGCTCAACTAGTGCAACGGGTTCAAGTGTTTTGTGAAGTATGTGGAGAAAGTCACACGAGCGACTTATGCCCAGTTAATCCAGCATCTGTCTGCTTTGTGGGTAATGCGAATAGGGGCCAGACAAACCAATATGGGTACACTTACAATCCCAACTGGAGGAACCACTCAAACTTCTCTTGGGGTGGAAATCAAGGTGCTCAAAATCAATACTGACCACAAGCACCTCAACAATAATATAGACCACCTCAGGCTGAACAACATGCAAACTCAACAAGTCACCTTGAGGAAATGATGAAGAAATTAATGGCTGATCAGCAACCCCAAGCCACATCAATGAGAAATTTGGAGCGCCAAGTGGGACAACTTGCCAGTGCCCAAAATACTAGACCAGTTGGAGCTCTTCCAAGTGGCACTGAAGCTAATCCTAAGGCATCCATTAATGTCGTTTCATTGAGGAATGGGAGACAATTAGAAGAAGTCCAGTCGAAAAAGAGAAAACATGTGACTTTTTATAAGAGGGCAGCCACTATAGAGTCAGAATCAGAAAAATCAAAGGAATCTAAGAAGCCAGCTGAAGAGGCGGTGGCTAAGAAACCTCCACCATTGGTTGCGAGGCCACCACATCCTTTCCCTCAAAGATTGCAGAAAGTGAAGGATAATGCCGCATATAAAAAGTTTCTTGATAGTTTGAAGCAGGTGCAAATTAATATTCCTTTGGTAGACATCTTGCAAGAAGTGCCCAAATATGCAAAATACATCAAGGACATAGTGGCAAATAAAAGGAGGTTGATTGAGTTCGAGACTATGGCACTCACTGAGGAATGTAGCTCAAGAATTCAAAGCAATCTACCTCAGAAATTGAAGGATCCGGGTAGTTTCACTATCCAAATCTCATTGGTAAGCATGCATTCGGGCGAGCTTTATGTGATCTTGGAGCGAGTATCAATTTGATGCCACTATCTGTATTCAGACAGTTGGGGTTGGATGAGCCACGCCCAACAACGGTAATCTTACAGTTGGCTGATCGCTTCCTTGCTTATCCTGAAGGAGTGATTGAAGATGTGTTAATTCAAGTGGGTTCTTTCATATTCCCTGTTGATTTCATTATCTTGGACTATGAGCCTAATCAGGAAGTCCCATTTATTTTAGGGCATCCATTTTTAGCCACGGTTCGAGCTATTATTGATATTTACGAAGGAAAGATGACGATAAGAGTAGGCGATCAAGTGGAGGTATTCAATGTATATAAAGAACTCAGATTGCCAGCCCACTATGAAGAGCTATCCATGATTTCTGTGGTGGAAAGTGATGCTACATCATTAGTGCCTTAAATGAGCCCTATAGATCCTCTTGAACGAGCTTTGATTGGGGATGAAGAAGACAGTGAAGATGAAATGATGAGAGAAATTGAGCAAGTACTTGATATGCCCTGCAGTTATGTCCATGGGTTTGGAAAATTTGAGGAGTTGGACAAGCCTGTCACTCTGACCCCTCCTAAGCCATCTATTGAAGAAGCTCCAAATCTAGAACTTAAGCCCTTACCAGCGCATCTGCGCTATGCTTATTTGGGGAACTCTGAGACATTGCCCGTGATTATCTTATCCAGCTTGATAACATACAAGAAGAAAAATTGCTCAGAGTCCTTCGCGAGCATAAAAAGGATATTGGGTGGACAATTGCTGACATTAAGGGAATCAGTCCATCATTTTGCATGCATAAAATCTTCTTGGAATATGGACACCGCCCTAGTGTTGAGCAGCAAAGGAGGTTAAATCTCATTATGAAAGAAGTCATGAAGAAGCAAGTAATCAAGTTGCTCGATGCATGTATCATCTTTCCTATTTTTGACAGCAACTGGGTAAGCCCGGTTCAATGTGTGCCCAAAAAGATGGGGATGACTGTAATTGAAAATGATAAAAATGAGCTAATTCCTACTCGCACTGTGAAAGGGTGGAGAGTCTGCATTGATTATAGAAGGCTCAACAAAGTAACCCGCAAGGACCATTTTCCACTTCCATTCATTGACCAAATGTTGGACAGATTAGGAGGGCATGAATATTATTGCTTCCTTGATGGTTATTTGGGATACAATCAGATTGTCATATGCCCAGAGGATCAGGAGAAGACCATTTTTACTTGTCCTTATGGCACTTTCGCCTTCAAGCGAATGCCGTTTGGTCTTTGTAATGCACCAGCTACTTTCCAGAGATGCATGATGGCTATTTTTACAGATATGGTGGAAATATTTGTGGAAGTTTTAATGGATGATTTTTCAGTCTTTGGGTCTTCTTATGATGATTGTTTGAAGAATTTGAGCAAGGTGTTAGCCCGTTGTGAAGAAACAAATCTGGTATTGAATTGGGAGAAGTGTCACTTTATGGTGCAGGAAGGCATCGTTTTGGGTCACAGAGTTTCTAGGAGCGACATTGAAGTTGATAAGGAGAAAGTGGAGGCGGTTGAAAAATTACCTCCACCTATTTTTGTGAATAGTGTCCGGAGTTTCTTGGGACACGCGGGATTCTATCAGCGTTTTATTAAAGATTTTTCTAAAATTACTACTCCTTTGTGCAAGTTGCTTGAAAAAGATGTAACTTTCAATTTTGATGAAGCCTGCCTTAAAGCATTTGAAGAAATCAAAAAGAAGTTGGTGGTTGCTCCCATTATTGTGGCACCAGATTAGTCCTTACCATTTTACCTTATGTGTGATGCGAGTGACCATGCTGTTGGGGTAGTGCTAGGCCAGAGGAAAGACAAGGTGTTTTATTCCATCTACTATGCGAGTAAGACTCTTGATGATGCACAACTGAATTATACCACCACTGAAAAGGAGTTGTTACCCGTTGTGTGGGCCTTTGAGAAATTTCAGGCATACTTGGTGGGAACAAAAGTCATAGTCCATACCGATCATGTAGCAATTAGGTATCTATTTATAAAAAAAGAATCCAAGGCTAGATTGATGCGCTGGGTTTTGTTATTGCAGGAATTTGATGTAGAAATACGAGATCGAAAGGGAACAGAGAACCAAGTAGATGACCATCTAATCACGGCTAGAAAATCATGACCACGTGGAGGAGGGGTGGCTAAATTAAAGAAGTATTTTCCGATGAGCAACTTTTTGCTATCACCCAAGACCCTCCCCCATGGTATGTAGACTATGTGAATTATCTTGTGAGTGGGGTACTTCCTCCTGAAATTGAATATGAAGCGAGAAAGAAGTTTTTACATGATGTGAACTTCTACTATTGGGATGAGCCATATTTGTACAAGCAATGTGCTGATCAGTTGATGACGAGATGCATTCCAGAAAAGGAGGCAGAAATATTGTATGATTGTCATGCATCACCTTATGGGGGCCATCATGGAGGAGATAGAACAACTGCAAAGGTATTACAATCCGGTTTCTTTTGGCCAACTTTATTCAAGGATGCCCATGCATTTGTTAAGAAGAGTGACCAATGTCAGAGAACAGGAACAATCACTAGGAGGCATGAGATGCCTTTGAATAACATCCTGGAGGTTAAGATTTTTGATGTATGAGGGATAGATTTTATGGGACCATTCCCATTGTCCAGAGGAAATAAATACATTTTGCTAGCAGTTGACTACGTATCAAAATGGGTAGAGGCGATCGCATTGCCAACAAATGATGCCATGGTGGTAGCTGCATTTGTGAAAAATAAAATATTTTCGAGGTTTGGGACTCCACGTGCATTGATAAGTGATGAAGGGATGCATTTTTGCAATTGATTATTGAATAACCTTCTAACTAAATATGGGGTCCGCCATAGAGTTGCGACAACGTATCATCCTCAAACGAGTGGATAAGCTGAGGTGTCGAACAGAGAAATAAAGTAAATTTTAGAGAAGACGGTGAGTGTGAATAGGAAGGATTAGGCTGTAAAGTTAGATGATGCCTTGTGGGCATATAGAACTGCATACAAAACGCCAATTGGGGCATCGCCATATAAGCTTGTTTATGGAAAGGCATGTCACTTGCCTGTTGAACTTGAACACAAAACATACTGGGCCATTAAAAAGTTGAATATGGACCTTGACGCTGCGGGTGAGAAAAGACTCATGCAGTTGAATGAATTAGATGGGTTCAGGCTGCACTCTTATGAAAATGCTAAGCTATATAAAGAGAAGACTAAAAGATGGCATGACAAACGTATCAAGCCACGTCACTTCGAGCCAGGTCAACATGTATTATTGTTCAATTCTAGACTAAGGCTATTTCTTGGGAAGTTAAAATCGAGATGGTCAGGCCCTTTTGAGGTGGTAAGAGTCACTCCTTATGGTGCAATTGAGTTGCGAGCTTTAAATGGTGAAAGAAAATTTATGGTGAATGAACAAAGAGTCAAGCATTATTGGGGAGGAATAATTGATCATGAGAAGACCAAAGTTGTACTCGCTAACGAGTAAGCAAGGTCCTGCGTCGTGCCACGACGTTAAATCACGTGCTTGTAGGGAGGCAACCCAATTTTTATTGCTTTCATAGTTTAACTTCTTAAATTTTTTAGTTAGAGTAGAGTAGAGTTGCATTTTCTTTGTAGGCATAGAAATTATTAGTAAAATGACGTAGGACATGTAAATTGGGTATATAAAAGGCTCGGGGGATCGGGATGTTATAATTTTTTTTTATCGAAAACAGCGCCTAGGCCAGCGCCTAGCGCTGCCTGGGGTGCTACAAGCAGAATGCGCAAGACCCCCCAGCGCCAGGCATAGCGCTGAGCGCTGAGTTGGGGGGTTATTTGATAGTCCCATTGCTCGAGGACGAGCAAGAGTCTAAGTGTGGGGTGTTGATGTTTGGCTTAAAGTATATATATATATATATATATATATATATTTATATGTATATCGCCTCATGTTTTACTTTTGTTTCGTGGATTTAGGATGTAAAATGTGTTGATTTATATTAATTTGAGGTGTTTTATGTGTAGGAATGATCCGGGAGCGATTGGGGACGAAAGGTGCGAGATTAGAGCCAAAACAGACGAAAAAACAAGAAAAAGGGAATTTCCTGGCACTACCTGTGGCGCCAGAGACAGTAAGCTTCAATTACCAGCGCCAGGGACAACGCCTAGCGCTGGGCTGGGCACTGGTGGCGTGAATTCTGTCCAACTTTGCCCGGGACAAGGTTATTTCAGCCCTAGACCTACCCAACACGTATAAAAGCAAGACTAAACTTATTTTTAGAGGGGGGACGACACTTTGAAAGGAGAATACATACGAGAAACATCTGGGAGCGAAGAAATCTCAGTTTTCTTCTTATTTTCTAAGTATTTTCAATTATCCAACACTTGTGAAATTATTTGCTATTATCATGAATGGCTAAAACCCATAGTTCTGGGGTTGTGATTTAGACATGAATATTGTTGTTTAACATTGACTTAACCTTGATTATAATTTACTAATATATGGTTGTTTCTTCAATTATGTGATTAATTGCTTAATCGTCTGGCCAGCAGTTAGGTTCTATTTACTATCTATGCTATGCTTGGGAAAGCCATGTTTAGATTTGAGAAGAATTGAA